TTCATATATTTATATATTTATATATTTATATATATATGTGTTGAACCTCTCACACACCTTGACCCGTCTCCAGGCCTACTATCCGTCCGTCTCTGCCAACCGATGGCTTGCAGTACGTCTCGAGCTGAACGGTAACTTTATAGTGTTCTTTGCGGCGTTATTCGCCGTGCTTGCTCGAGGTGACATCGACCCATCCATCGTGGGTTTGAGTGTTTCGTATGCACTCAGTGTGACGCAAGGACTCAACTGGATTGTGCGTATGTCATCCGAACTTGAGTCCAATGTGGTCGCGGTGGAGCGAGTGAAGGTAAGTGCACGTGCACGTGTGGTTTTGTGTGTCTTCTTATGTGTGGATATCGGTATGTTTGCCTTCATATGTGTGCGACTTCATGCCGTGCTCCATCCTATAATGGTTCAGCTTCACAAACTTATTTTCAGTGTTGCCAGTACATGTAACTAATTGTCTATACTTGTCGTCAGCAACTGTATGCATATGTAGTGCTGGTTCTATGCACCGTTTCGCATGTGTGGGAATACACGGATCTACACACCAAAGCTCTCAGAGTAGTGCCGATGCATGGTTACTCGTTACTCAACATTGTGTGCCCTTGTATATATCCCAAATCTCGGACCACAATCTTATTTGGAGGATGTACTTCAGCTTATATCAGCATATGTATTCCATGGTCTACTCATCTTCATCGTCTGTATGTATATGTCATCGCTTGTCGATGCAAACTTGCTCGATGCACATGTGTAGGAGTACACGGATGTGCCAACGAATGCTCCCCATAGTGTGGGTGTATCGTTCCACAACAGTGTGCCCCTGCATATATGTCATATTTAAATCTACATTTTTTATTTCGAGTACTTACATTTACTTTTAGCAGGGCATGCATTACATTGCCAATACTCATTTTCATCATTCGACAAGTAGTTTTCAATCGGTATGTACCTACTTTACGCACACCTATAGGAGTACACGGATGTGCCTACTGAGGCCCCCGCAGTAGTGTCTGGGCATCGCCCTCCCAAGCTGTGGCCATCACTCGGAGAGGTCAAGTTCACTGATGTGAGTATCCGGTACAGAGATGGACTGCCAAATGTCCTTAAGAACGTGTCTGTGGACATTAAGGGAACGGAGAAGGTATGAGTGTGGTTGGTTGAACGGGTGCTGGCATAGTGAGTGTAACACTAGTGTTGTTCGCTAAGGGGTGTTTGGGCTATATCGCATATCTTCTAGGTACCTTCCAGGCTAAAGTATATGATTCTCCCGCTGCGAAAAGGGTCTCCACTATGCAATTCGTTTATGTACCCGAATACTAAGCCTTAATAACAATATTCCCACAAAAAAATCCACCACTCATTGCACTATGATGCAACTATACAGGTGGGTGTGGTGGGTCGAACAGGAGCTGGTAAGAGTAGTCTGACCCTGGCGCTGTTCCGCATCATGGAGTTGTCGAGTGGGGACATAGTCATCGATGGCCTCAACGTCGCTGATATGGGCCTCGAAGACCTGCGCTCTCGTCTCACCATTATTCCGCAAGATCCCATCCTTTTCACAGTAAGTGCCACTACAGATATA